TAGATCGTCAATTTAAATCTGGTAAGATGGCATGCAGAAATTATAAATTAAAAATATGAAACCGTAATTTATGAATAAGAGCATATGATCTAAGGTCATCAAATTTACAAAAAAAACTTAATATTTAATGTTTACTTTATGAACGTTTCTTTCAATGCGCGGCATGCGTAAAAGCCAATTACGCATGGTCGAAATTAGAAAATTCAACAGAAACATTTGATGTGTATTGTGATATTTATGACGAGATATGATTTAAGTCATATCAAAGACGATACATCAGATGAAATACTACAGTAGACGGAATTTTAAGCCGAATAAATTTAAATCGCCCTGAGATAGTAGTGATGACAGATCAATCCGTTCATTGCCGCTGCGACATTACTTATAATGTTCTTCAATGTCGGATGCGTAAAGCATACATTACGCTGGTCGAATTAGAAAATTGCAACCAGAAAACTATTTGATGGTATTTGGATTTTATAATGCGAGGAATCTTTAAGTCATATCAAAGACGAATTACATCGAGATGAAATACTACATAGCACGGAATTATACCGAATAAATTTAAATCTGCCCTGAAGATAAGGATAGTGCTGACAGATCAATTCCAGTTCATTGCTGCTGCGACATCCCCCCCCCCCAGAGCATGAAATTGATAAAGATTTCGGATGGTTAGAGAGACAAAGATATATCTTTATCCATTTTTTGGCACAATTCAATTTTTGTTTGTGGACATCGAAACTTTGCTGTCGCTTTTGGGGTCCTTTGCAGCTCCAGAATCAGAAATTCTTTTTTACATATTCGAAAGTTCAAGCTTACTTTTATAAAATGCCTACAGTCCGCAAAAAAAAATATAGCCAGATCCAATCGAAGATTAAAGAAAACGCAAATCTGCAACATAACTGAAATATAATTAGATAATTTTAGTTAGCTTATAATCGTCCATTATACATTAAATGCGCATGCGTAAACGTATTATGCGCATGCATAAACACATATGCACATGCGTAAACGCATTATGCGTTTACACATGCGCAGAAAGTTTGTAGCTTTGAGGTCCGGATTATAGATTTCGGATTATGGACGTCCGGATTAAAGACTTTTGACTGTAGCTGTTTTCACATCACTGTCGGAAGAGAACCTCATTCCAGATAAATATTCCTCCAATTTCAGAAAAAGAAAATAGTCACTGGGCTGTATGGAAGGTAACTCCAGATTTCCCACTTAAACTTTTGCAGCAATTCATTAGTTTGGCGAGCAGTATGGAGCTCGGCATTGCCATGCAGGAGGATGACACCATCACTCAACATAGCAGGACACTTAGGATGCTTGTGTCAGATGGCTTCATGTAAACTTGTCTAAGTGGCACAATAACAATCGGTAGTAACGGTATATCCACCATCCATATACACGATCATGACAACAAATCGTGGCATCTCCAAACGAGACCACTTTCCTAAATGTCTTGTCATTTCAATAGCTCTGATGCATCTGCAAACTTACTCTATCTACCCGCACAACCACTGCTAGACAACTAGGGCCATCTGCCTACACTCTGGGGATAAGGTTTGGTGACAAAAGTTGAAAAACAAGGACTATGACATTCAAGAAGCAAAATGCTCTGGCCAGCCTTCTAATGTTGATGAGGCCAGCCTGCAACAACTCGCAGAAGATCAGTATGCAACCACTCGAGAGCTTGCTAAGGAGTTAGACATTAGTGCCATGTCCATTAATCGCACCTATTCGTCACATAACACTTGACGTACAAGTTCCATCGCTGGGTGCCACATGGGCTGACTCAAGCAGATAAGGGCAGACATGTTTGAGCCTGCCCTAATCTGCTCAAATATCAATGCAAAGACAAAATTCTGGACTGGATCGTCACTTGTGGAAAAGTGAATTTACTTCAATGACACAGGTCGGGAAGGGGTTGGTCTGCACAAAGTGATCCCGTCGGCAGCGTCGCAAAGTGCAATTTGACTAACAAAAAGATCATGTTTTGTATCTAGATGGACTGCCATGGAATTATCCACAAAGAGTATCCAGAAAAAGGTAAAATCTTCGACAGTAATGTGTATAGCAAGATACTGGTCCAAGTTGACGTTGTGCTATCATGGAAAAATGTTGAACTGAGTTCCAAGAAAAAATGGTAATGTTTCATGAAGATAATGCAAGACCACACATGTCTGCATTCACCAGCTGAACTCTGTACTGACTAGAACGGCATCTTTTGCCACACCCACCATATAGCTCCAACATCACTGCTTCGTACTTATTCTTTTTCACACCTGCAGCTACACCTAGCCGCTGCTTTCTTCCATTTTGCACAGGACATCAGAAATGAGATTTATCTATTTTTTGGCTCGAGGCCGAAGGCTTTGAAAAACTACTAAAATATTGCCAGAAAATCATAGACTTGGGTGGTGATTACTACCCACACTAAAGGTATTGCTTTCATGTTTTCCCCCCTCCCTTTATTAAACATGTTTTCACCAGATATTATGCTATGAAGCAACACTCTGTATAAAGTTTAAAAACTCCCAAAACAATATTGTAAGCAGGCAGATATCTGAAGTTATGCTACCAGGCTAAGAAATTAATAACTTTCATGTGAATGCTGCATTTTTTGTTTTTCTTAAATATAAACACATGTATGTGTTTTGATTTTTAAATAAACTGCATGATTTCTGGCATTATTCATTTAATTACAGCCAATAGATAAAAAAACAAGATAACTTTGACTGATAAGAGACTTTGCTAACCATAATTTTTACAGATGGCATCATAAAACATGAATAGGTTAAGTTTTAGAAATATATATTTAATTACTCAGAAAAATCTCCCAACTGAAATCAGTGAGGTCCTGTTGCTGCCAATTAAGAACGATTCTACTACAGACGGAAGATCAGTTTGAGTAAGTGATGTGAAGATTGGGCATTTTTTAGCAATACATACCCTCAATCTCTCACTATACAAGACACAAGATACAATATACAAAACATTTCATTGCATACCTTTGAAAATTAAAATATACTTAAGAAAGACTATAACTGATTTTATACAACTAGTGTAATTTTGTATTAAAAATCTTCAGTGAATATAAGAAATTAATGACGACAATTTACCAAAAAAATCACTAAATGTTGGTTGAAATAGCTTTTCAAAGCACATTTTCATATTAGAAAAGTAACAATTTATTTAGCCTCAAGATTTAATAGTTCATCTGCTTTTTCATATTTTCTTGTACATAAAATATTATTCAATAAAATGCTAAGGTGACACATTTCTAATTTTCTTTTATTCACATTACTAAACTACAAATAAACTAATATTATGAAGCTTCTTTTTGTCTCAAAAAGAAAAAAGCTCTGCTTCACTCTCACAAACCTTCCCTAAAAAACTGTAATATGATTTACCATTCATACGTATAGCTAACATATTCCAGGAAGGAAAAAAAAAAAAAAAAAAAAAAGCAAATTAATATCCTCTTTTGCAAAAAAAAATGAAGCACCATGAAGGAAGTGGTTGTTTTTGATGAAACTGAATATGTGTATAGCTCATACACAGATAATAAAATCAAGGTCATAGTACCTATTCACGGTTCACAATCACCCACTGAGTGTTCAAATTAATAGTTAGTCGAACCCCCCCCTGGCAGTAATGCATGCAATGGATGCTTGAATTCGTCGAGGTGTCGATCTGGAGCATCAGTTGTCGTTCCAGATCTGCGATATTTTTTGGTGCCCGAATCTAGAGGGCTATCATGCCCCAGACATGCTCGATTGGTGAAAGGTTTGATGACCTTCCTGGCCAAAGATGAGTATCAACCGCACAGAGACAGTCCAGAGATATGCAAGCAGTATGTGGTCTCACGTTATGTTGTTAGAAAAATGGCCCCAGGGTGACGTGCCATGAAGGGTAATGTAACCGGCCGCAGGATGGTATCAATCATTGAGCTGTTAAAGATGTATGCAGGATGACTAAAGAGGACCTGCTGTCATAAGAAATAGCACTCCACACCATCACACCAGGGGTTATGGCTGTATGCTTTTGTAAAACAAAAACTGATTGGTACCGCTGATCCCGTCCTCTCCAGACACGAACACGGTGGTCATATGCTTCAAGAATGAAGCGGGATTCATCGCTGAACATGATACAATGCCAGTCTGATGGCAGCCATGATGATCGGCTGCGACACTACTCCAGACGACTCTGCCGATGTTGTGGGATCAAAGGCAAACGTCTTAAAGGCCTCTGTGAGCATAACCCTGCCTCAGACAAGTGCCATGAGATGGTGGATGGTACCACGGGAGGTATAGACGTGGCTGTAGTGTGTTAAATAGTCAACAATGATACTATTGGGGCAGTTTGGACCTGGCGAGCAATCATCCTATCTTGCCTCGCATTTGTGTTCCTTGGCATATTGCTATACGTGATGTAATTAGGAGTCAGGCTCGGCCTATTGCTCGGTATGACCCCCCAGCTTCATGCAACCCTACAATGTGACCATGTTCGAAGGTCGATTAGTTGTCTGTAAGGTCTTCGATATCGCCATAATGGCATCTTTGGCTGTTTCTTTACGCTATTACAATGGCACCAACAACAAAAGATAAATTTTCCACCTCTGTTACTGGTTTTATACTTTGCGAATTGCGCACTAGAAATGTCTGCTATGATCGCAATTCCTGTTCACTTGCCTTGAAACATAGATCATTTGCATGTTCGATCAAGATGTTTTTGCATACCAAATTTCGTCACGATCGCAAAAGTCCTTCATGGTTTTATTGATTTTTTTGCAAAAAAGTGTATAAACTAAATAGCAAACATATATCACATCATTCAGAGAATTTCGTTATATAATAAAGTTTCCAAATACAGAAATAATAAAACACAAATTTTTTTAGAAAATTACTTCTATAATTTACTTATGATAAATTTATTATCTATAAATGGATAGATTTTAAATAGTAACATAAGGAACATACAACTATATACTCAACCTGAAGCTAATGGTTCCTCACGATCTGTAGTTTCGTAACGTAGTATTGAGAATTGTGGGAGCTCAGCTTTTTCAACCCCAATAACAGCTTCTTTCATCCAGTACATAACCACATCTTCAACAGTATATCCATCTTAAAAGCAAATTTTTAAGAGAAAACTTAATTACTTTGTTGTTTAAACTGTTACAGACAAAATGGGTTCCTAATTAAAGCAAAGCAGTAGAAGTCTTTGATCTAAGGATAAATGTCTTGTTAAAGAAAGCTTACTCATAATTACATGACATATGCAGAACAAACACCACTAAGAATTAAGAAGTCATATCACAGCATTTATTAATTGAGTTTGCATAATTACTTATTTTAGTCTGTATCTTCCTAAACTTACATTCATTAAGATGATATTTACATTATTAAAGAAAGTAAAAAGCAAAATATCTTAAATTATAAGCTAATATATGCCAAGTAGCAAAACTTCTGATTACCAGATAAAGCCGGTCATACGCTCAGAGGGTTAAAGACCAATTTTCACAAATATCTTTTGCTACCTGTGAGGTAAGAGGACTCCAAAATTAATTACAAGCTATATATAAAAGAAGTACCATTTTAGGCCCAAAATATTTTTTCTCCTTTCCTCAGCTTCAGCATTTGTACTACATGCATTAACATTGATTTTAACATATTATAATGTAGAAGTTATTATTTTCATTAATATTATTTTCGAGGCTCTCAGTTTGCATTTAATGAGCAATAACTGTCAGGATATCGAAAACTCAAGCCAGCTTATTTTTATGAGTACTTAGAACCTATGCAACTAAAGAAAATTCAAAATTTATAATCCCCATAAAAACATAAAAGCTAAAGAATTAACGTCTCTTTTCAAATTCTGTAATATTTAAAAGAGAACGACTGTAAAACATCATGAAGCATATTACTCAAAATTGCAATTTTTAATTTAATAAATGTAAATTAAACAAGAAAAATTATATTAAGTATACTCTTGAACTACACCGACTACCAATTTTGGTATTTGGACACCTGTGATAGAAAAGAAAAACTAACTTTATTCAAAATCAATAGTTGGTAGAGCCTCCACGAGAGGTAATTACAGCGTGGACCCTCCGGGGCATACTTTCCATAAGTCTTTGTATGACAGCTAGTGGTATTTTCTTCCACTCGGCTTGGAGAAGATATAGAAGCTCCTTCACCGATTTTGCACGGGTAATGCACCCCGTAATTCGGGGTTATTCCACAGGTAATTCGGCGATGCAACTTGTCCCAGAGGTTCTCGATAGGGTTCAGGTCTGGACTCTGGCAGGCCAATCCTTCGATAACTCCATGGCACCATACCAAGCCTTGGTTAACATCAAACATGACAACTGGCATTGCGTCCTGAAAGTAACAGGGGTCCAACCCGTAAAACTGCCAAACGTAGAAAGCACATGTCATCCAAAATAGGCAGTATGCATCGGAGTTGAGCATACATGAATGGGGACCAGGGTCCCAGCCATCCAGGAGAACACCCCCAGACCATAATTCCACCTCCGCCGAACTTGACTGTTGGCACAATGCATTCTGGCAGGAGACGTTTTCCAGGCAGACGCCAGATCCAGACCCTGCCATTTGAGCGGTAAAGGATGAACCTTGATTTGTCACTCCAAAGAATCCGTTTCCACTGATCTACGGTCCCATTTCGATGTGTTTGCACCACATTAACTGAGCAGCGAGGTTGGACTTTGTGATCAAAGGCTTATGGGTAGCAGCACGACCATGAAAACCAAGCAGATATGCTTCCTTATGGATGGTATTCATTGAAACAATACTCCCGGATGCCTGTTAAACTCCTCGCGGATGAGGGCCATCGGTTGGTGCGGTTCTTCCTAATTTCTCTGACAGCACTCGTCTCTATCTCCCAGTTTTGTTGGTCTGCTGACTCGGGGCACATTCCGACAATCACTGCTCACCTTCCACTTCTTATCACATAGGCCATTGTCGATTTTGGATACTTCAGATCGCTAGATATGTCCCTTAAGAATCGGCCACATTTGTGATACCCGATAATTATACCTTTCTCGAAATCAGAGAGCTTCGAACTGCGAGGCTCTTGCACGACTAAAGCCGATGCTGTTTCCTACACGATATATACCGGTGGAGTCCGTGACTTACCTTAGGACCGCAGATATCGTCATTTGCATAGGTGTCCAAATACTTATTGGTAGTCAGTGTATAATCATTTATATTCTAAAACTGTATGTTTATTAAAATTTAGCTTCTGATTTAAGGTGATAAAGAAATGGGAAACCATTCAACTTTTTCACTAAACATTTTCTTGTTATAAGAAATTTTCTTAAGCATACTGAGTAATAAAATTTCTTGACATGCAATTAAGCTAACATTTTCTGCAATATAATAAGGCAATACTCTTACTGCAATATTTTAGAAAAGTTTTTAAAAATAATGAATTTTTGTTCCTTAATGAGTTTTATGAGGATTCCAATTGTCTCTTTTGTTTCATTATGCCCAGCAGCTTTATTTTGTTGTATGTGACATCAAAAGTCTCTCGGAAATCTATTAGTTGATGAAAAAAACTGGCAAAAAATTTACAGCAGTAATACAGCATCATTGTTCAGCATGCAATGCTGTTCTTACAAATTTTTTTAACTGCACTTTTTATTTGTGGAAACACTGTTAGAAAAGGGAAAGTTTCAAGTCCAAGAAAAATTGGAAAATGAGACTTTAGAAGGCTAGTTGCTGAAATTATAAAATCCAAAGAAAACTATAACAAAAAAAAAAAAAAAAAAAAAATACATTTGCTAGTTTTCCTGATCTCCTGAAAAGTTCTGCTTAATTTGTCAAAACAGTAGTCAATCATTCAAAAATCGGATACCATCATTTTTGCTTTGATAGCTTTACAACCTTCACCATGTATTGCATCATGTGACCGATGGTCTTGATTTAAATATTTACATTGAAAAAGTCTTCAACTAAAGGGCTAAAAATTCCTATTATACCTGAAAAAGTAACTGTTCTAATGTTACAACAATTATAGAGAAAACAAATGCTGTTAGTTGTAATCTTTTTAATAAAAACAATTCTAAACTGCACACAGTACAAACCCTGATATATGATACAACAGAAATTAATTCAAATGTTCATAACTTGCATGTAACAGAGTTCATAAAATGACTAAATAAGTCTTCTAATACAGAAAATGAATGGAGACATTACAGTACAGATGTCTTAATCTTTTATTCACTTTTTTATTTAGTATCCCCTCACAAATATCATTTTATAATATCTTCAGGAAACATGATCTTGCCATATTCGACTACTCTGCTGAGATTATGTTCTTTATTTCAACTAAACCCAAGAATGGAACAGCATGATAATACTTTTTGGGTCATATATTTTCAAAGTTTCCATTATTACAACAAAAAGCTTACATGTTGCATTTCTGATACATGAAATTCATACTAAGCCCTTTCCTTTCTTTAATTCCAAGGAGGAAATACAGATGGTTCATCACATGACAGTGTCAATGCAGCTACCACAGCATACATATTTATGATTTTCTATCATTTTATAAAGATATTGTTCATATTTTACCAGTTTGAAAAATAACAGCTGATCAACTGTTTGATTGTCTAAAAAATAACTCTCCAGATGGAGGAAATAAGTTTTATGGTTATAATAGTTGTTAGTGATTATAAAATAATTAATTCCAAAGCAATTTTCTATTTTCCCACTCCATGTAAAATATCTATAGTTTACAAACATCCTGCAAATATATCCATACCATTACTTTTTGCTATTAACAATGTTCATATCTTAAAGCGTGTCCAAAATAACTGGCTCAGACGGGAAAATTCACAATGATTTCATTATATTTTCATACTTGCTATTTTAACCCAAAATCAAATGAACATGTTCTTACAGAAAATACTCAAATACTAATGCAAAAAGCATTAATAAAGAAATGCATGAGATAAAGTTGTGAACCATTAATAAAACACAGGTATGGCTTGACTTTAAAAGCTCTAAATCGCTCAAATTTAGAGCGGCCAAATGTGGGTTTAGCTTTAAAAATATTTAGCAAGTTTGTTTCTGAGGGATTATATGAAATGGAACAAAAATATGATAATTCATACTATTCCCCAAATGCAGACTTCATAGAAAGAATAAGCACATGGTTTGATATTGTAAATGTCAAAAAACACCATTCAAAGGTATTAGATTAAGAAATGAGTATCAGCAGCTTATAACTTTAAGTAACAGCCAAAAGATGCCTTTTTGTAAAAATAGTTCTTGCATATACTGACACATGGCATAAAAAAAAAAAAAATTGTTCTATAGAAGCACTTACCAGAAAAACAAATACTACCATTTCTCATACATTACAAGCTGTCCTTGAACTGGCAAGGTATTGTAAGGATTTAAAATTTACGTATTTCTTGGCAGGCAAAGTTTAAACAGATGCTTTCAAGGACAGATTTGGCCAATATAGGAAATTCTCTGGTTCACAGTATAATGTAGCAATAACCCAAGTATATGAATCAGAGGGCAAATTCTGTATGCAAAATTTCTTACCTTTTATTCTTGAATAAAAAAAGTTTGGAAAAATTGAAGTTAAAAGTTTTGATGAAAAATAATATTGACTTCATTCACACTGACGATTTTAATAATGCCTTCTCTATGTTACAAGTAGCACAAAACGAACCAGATTCTATTAAATCCATTCATGCCTTATCTTGCTGTGTATTGTGTGCATAGGTTTCTAAAGATTGCAAGATATGAACATTATAAAGAGTGGCATAACTAGAACTCTGGGGCCTCTATGCAAAAAAAAATTTGGGGCCCCCTATTAAATTTACAGTACTCCCCCCTCCCAAATTCAATGATTCCAGGAGCCAAAATTTTGATGATGATTTTTATCAGAAAGGTCGGATAAGGAATTTTAAGCTGGCTAAGAGGGCGGATATATATTCTGCAAATTGCAATAAAAAGTGAAGTGCACAACTAGATATTGTAGCACTCCCATATACAAAACTTCAACGCTCTACGACTAATCGTCTTTGAGTTATGCGAGATATATATCTCAATTTATCTGTCTATCTCTTTCATATATATATAGAGAG